TCCAGGTAGAACCTGATGAAAAATCAGGGTTTTTATTAAAGATACAGACAAGCAATTAAATCCTACCTTACTCACACCAATAGATTTTTCCAGGTTTCTAGCACGGGCAACAGAATAAGCTTTCCTTTTTTAAGTTCCAAGAATTCTTGAGGTTCTCTCATTGTTTAAAAAGTTTGCTGTTCCAATAATAATTCTGTCAATTCTTCCACGGTTGGATAGGAAACTCAGTCTACCTTTCAAAAACATTCTTAGTAATATACTCTAGAGCAGTGGTTCCCAGCGTGGGGCACATTTTTAAGAGGGGCAATTTGATAATAAGTTATTAACAGTGAATTTTTTGCATTTCTTATGGTTCTAGGGGACTCATATATAGTATATAAATATATATTGTGACAAATTTATGCATTTCAGTTCTCTATTGTTTTGAAACTTTATTTGCTATTTTTTCATATCACTTCATATTATTATTTTTTATAAACAATTTCTTAGTGATTTCTTCCTCAGTACTTCAACTGTCCTTTTATTTTTCTTTCATGGATGCCCTGTTCTCTGGAAGTTTACTCAGACCAAGTTAATGGCTTTTTAGGCTTCCTCCACATGAATAGGAGTTCACTCTTTGAATAATAAGAATTATATGTCATGGGGGGAGGGGAGGCATCAGGATTTTAGAGATGCTTAGGTGGGGCCTGGACAAAAAAAGGTTGGGAACCACTACTCTAGAGAATAGCAGTGAGGCAATAATATTGATTTTAATGCCCAACCTCTTCTGTCTCCATGTCATTTCCCATTAGTCTGGAATTAGTTATCCCACATATGAAATAAAATAAATTGTTAAAATAATTCTTTCCTATTCTTTATTATGCTTCAAATTCTACCAGCTGTTCCAGGAAAGAATCTCAATTTCATAAGTCAAAAAATTAAAGCACCTAAGAACTGTAATTTTTATTAAAAAACAAAACTCAAATTTTGCATTACTAACAGTACATATTCTCTGCTGATTTTAGATTTAAAAAATTTTGTATGTAGTCCGAGGGATTACATGAATTCAAAGTTACTTTGAAAATTATGAAGCCACATGAGGATTATTTTGCTATTTACAACCAACATTCAGGCTTTTTTAAGGAAAGGGGCACTAAAATAGAATAAAAATTAAAATATTTAGTTAAGTCTTTATTTATTTCCAAGTAGTAAGAAGGACTGATTTGAGTTTTACCTTTCTACTTGCTAATCTCTCCTTTTCTTTAGGGAAAGGTACAAATAAATTGTAATGTGGCTAAAAGATGGACAGCCAACAAAAATAGGGGGGAGGAAAAAAATCAAGAAACCTGGATGATCTAAAAGCCAGATAATCAGTCTGCAAATAAATCACATCTTATAAAATGCCTCTGTGTGAGCTGGTCAATTAAATCTGAAGAAAAAGATACTTTAGATACTTTCAGCTACTAAGGGCCTATTTCAGTCTCTCTTACAAGTACAACCCTCATTTTTAAATTTCACTTGCATTTCTCTATTAATGGGATCTTCTATTTTATGAGATTGTTATTCTTGGATGTTATTGCAATTTATGCCATACTTCTGGGCTCAGATGGATTAGGTGAATTGAACACACATTTTTTTTTATTATTATTTCCTACTCCTCACTGTCCTTCATATTCTCAAGAATTCTACCAGCTATTCCAGGAAATTCAATTCTATAAGTCAAAAAAAATAAAATATTTAAGAATTGTAATATTTAAAAGTCAAACAGCCCTAGACAGTTTGGCTCAATGGTGAGAGCGTCGGCCCATGAACTGGAGGGTCCCGGGTTCGATTTCAGTACCTCAGTTGCGGACTCGATCCGAGTGCAAAAGGTAGCTAAGCTAATCAATGTGTCTCTCTTACATTGATGCTTCTCTCTTTCTGCCCCCCCCCCCCCGCCCACTTCCACTCTCTCTGAAAATCAATGGAAAAAATATCCTCAAGTGAGGATTACCACCACCACCCCAAAAAAAAGGTAAAAAAAAAAAATCAAACAAATCTTCAATTACTAAGATCAGTCAGTACAGACTAATGGTAGAATTTTTGAGAATCTGAAGGAGAGTGAGAAAAAGGAAATCATCTTTTTAAAACTGTATGATAGATGTGAGATATTTTCTTATCATTGTAAAAGACTTTGCTCTGGATGTTCGTGCTAGCCCTGTCAAATAGTCAATGTCATCCCTCTCCACCCCATCCTGTCCCCTTGCTTCAAAGTACAGAAACGCAGTGCGCACAGTATTAAATATATAAGGTCTTAGTCCACATGGGTTTGATTACAGAAATTAAGTATTCTCTAAATAATGAGGGAGGGGAGTACAGAAACGAACAAGTCAATTCTAAAAATCACATGCTTCTGTCTCCGACAAAAACATCCTTCTCATAAAACCACAGCACTGCAAAATCTGTTACTCTTCACTCATTAACCTCATGCAAATAAGAATTAACTCTATTAGCTTCTTTCTTAAATTGACTTATGGATCAATAATCTATTTTAATTATAAATATTTCTATTTCCAAATAGTTGTTATAATTATCACAAGGTGAAACCTAGCTTTTTTTTCTTTTTTAAGAATATATTTTTCTTGATTGCAGAGAAGGAAGAGGGAGAGAGATAGAAACATCAATGATCGGCTGCCTCCTGCATGCCCCACACTGGGGATAGAGCTTGCAACCCGGGCATGTGCCCTGACCAGGACTCGAACCGTGACCTCCTGGTTCACAGGTCAATGCTCAACAACTGAGCCACACAGGCCAGGCGAACCCTAGCTTTTAAGTGTTATACTTGTGAAGGTAGGAAACTCACTACACTTAAATTACACACTTATTTAAGCCCATTCTGTTCTAAGGAAATGTCTTCTCTTTAAGCAATTTTATTGTGAAATATAACATGTACAGTGCATACACACATAAAGTATGACAGCTTGATAATTTAGCACAAAATAAATACCCAAATACTACTAATCAGGCTAAGAAATAAAACATTTCTAATACCCCAGAAATCTCCTCATGTACCCCTCTCCTATAGCTCCTCCCATTCACCAAAGGTAACTAAACTTCCTTTCTTTATAGTTGTTACCAACTAAAAACACATACCTAAGTATTATGGTATAGCTTTGCTTTTGTCTAAAAAGGACTAACTCCACATGTATTTAATTTTGGTGCATGGCTTGTTTTGTTCAACATTGTGTTTGTAAAATTCATGCATGTTCTTACAAGTAAATAATTTGTTCATTTTCCTTGCTTAATAATATTTCATTGTATGATTATGCCATTGTTTATTCTGATAGTGGACAACTGGGTTGGTTCTAGTTTCTGACCAATACAAATAATGCTGTTTTGAATACTCTTATACAATCTCCTCACATACTTGGGAATGCCTTTCTGCCCAATATACCCAGAAATACAACCTAGTCATAGGGTATGTATATCTTCAACTTTAGTACATAATGTCAAACAATTTTTCAAAATACCAATTTAAACTTCCACTAGCAGTTTTTTAAGTTTCTAATGCTCCACATACTCACTCTCTTGGCATTGTTAATCTTTTTTTTTTTAATTATCACCCAAAGACATGTTCATTGATGTTTTAGAGAGAGGGGAAAGGGGGGGAGAAGGAGAGAGGTGGGGAGGGAGGGAGAGGGGGGGGGCATCGATGTGAGAGAGAAACATCAACCGGTTGTCTCTCACACTTGTCCGGATTGACAGAGCCAGGGATAGAGCCCACACATAGGTATGCATGTGACTGGGAATCAAACCTTCGACCTTTGGGTGCACCAGACGACACTCCAACCAACTGAGCCACATCTCATTATCATTTCAATTTGCATTTTACTCATTTCTAAAGAGACGGAGTGCCGCCTTGGCTGGTGTGCTCAGTGGTTAGAGTGTTGGCCCTCGCACCCAAAGGGTCATGGGATCAATTCCTAATCAAGGGCATGGACCTGGCTTGCAGGTTTGATCCCCAGACCCAATAGGGGCACATGTGGGAGGCAACCAAATGATGTGTCTCTCTCACATCCATGTTTTTCTCTCTCCCTCTCTCTCACCCCACCCCTTCCACTCTAAAAATCAATGGAAAAAATATCCTCAGGTGAGGATTAACAACAAAAAAGACTGAGTGCCTTTACATGTTATTAGCCATTTTGATATTCTTTTTTATGGCATGCCTACTCTTGCCCAGAGTTAGAAGGCAGAATTATCTTTTTCTTACTGGTCTATAGTAGTTCCCTGTTCTTTAAATATGATGCAAATTTATTCTCCCATTCTCTTAACTGTGCCTTTTGATGAACAAAAGTTCTTAATTTTAATGTAATAATGCAGCGACATTCTTTTTCTTTCTGATTAGTGCTTTTTATGTCTATTTAAAAAGTCCCTGAGCCATAGCTAGGTGGCTCAGTTGGCTGGAGCATCATCCCATACTCCAAAAGGTTGCAGGTTCAATTCCTGGTTAGGGCACATACCTAGGTTGCAGGTTCAACCCACAGTCGAGGTGCATAAAGGAGGCAACTGATCGACGTTTCTCTCCAAAATCGATGTTTCTCTCTCTCTCAAAAATAAAAAAATCAGTAAAAACATATCCTCAGGTGAGGATTAAAAAAAAAGTCTTTCCCTGCGATGATGTCAGAAACTTGCTTCAAAATAATCGGCTGGGGGGTGACTTGAACTGGAGTCTCGGCTTCTTGCCTTCCTCCCTGAACAACCCGAGCTTCAGCACCCACTCCAGCTTCTCCACAAACTACTGGACCCTGGACTCAGTGCAGTTGCCAGTGACCAAGCCCGGGCAACCAGCAGCACAGTCAGCATCTACCAGGTATGTAGGTGGCAGGGGCTCTGGCTCCTGGATCTCTGTGTCCCACTCCACCAGTGTGTGGGACAGCTGACGGTCCCAGGGCCTGGCTGCAGGGATGGCTGGGGGTCTGTTGGGCACAGGGAGTATCCAAAGTAAGACTATGCAATGCCTGAATGATGGCCTGGCCTCCTACCTGTAGAGGGTGAGAAGCCTGGAGGCTGATAATTGGAGGCTGGAGATCAAATTCAGGAACACCTGGAGAAAAAGGGACCCCAGGTCAGAGACTGGGGGCATTTCAAAGACCACTGAGGACCAGAGGGCTCAGATTTTTTGAAAGTTCTGTGGACAAAACCCACACCATTCTAGTGACTGATGATGTCTGTCCTGCTGCTGCTAACTTCAGAGTCAAGTATGAGACAGGGCTGGCCATGCGCTAGTCAGTGGAGAGTGACATCAATGGGCTCTATAAGGTCATTGATGACATTAATATCACTCAGCTGCAGCTGGCAATAGAGAGCAAGGCTTTCAAGGAGGACCTGCTCTTCATGAAGAAGCACAAGGAGGAAGTAAATGTTCTACCAAACCAGATTGCTGACTCTGTGTTGACCGGGAAGTTGGATGCCCCCAAATCTCAGGACCTCAGCAAGATCATGGCAGACATCTGGGCCCAATATGACGAGCTGACTCTGAGGAAAGGAGGGGAGCTAGACAAGTACTGGTCCCAGCTAGACAATTATTGGTCACAGAGGAGAGCACCACAGTGGTCACCTCACAGACTGCTGAGATAGAAGCTCCTGAGATGACACTCACGGGGCTGAGATATACAGTCCAGTCCTTGGAGATCAAGTTGGACTCCATGAAAAATTTGAAGGCCAGCTTGGAGAACAGTCTGTGGGAGGTGGAGATGTGCTATGCCATGCAGATGGAGCAGCTCAATGGGATCCTGCTGCAGCTAGAGTCAGAGCTGGCCCAGACCTGGGCAGAGGGAAAGTGCCAGGCCCAAGAGTACAAGGCCCTGCTGAACATCAAAGTCAAGCTGGAGGCTGAGATCACCACCTACCACTACCTGCTGGAAGAAGGGGAGGACTTCCATCTTGGTGATGCCCTGGACAACAGCAACTCCATGCAATCCATTCAAAAGACTACCAGCACAGGATTGTGGACAGCAAAGTGGTATCTAAGGTCAATGACACCAAAGTTCTGAGGTATTAAGGCAGCAGAAATGGGGTACTCCTTGGCGGGGGCGTGGGGGTGGGGGGGCAGAAGGCCAATAAAAAAGTTCAGAGATCCTTGAACATTAAAAATAGTAATAGCCCTAGCCGGTTTGGCTCAGTTGGATAGAGCGTCAGCCTGAGGACCAAAGAGCCCTGTGTTTGATTCCAGTCAAGGGCACGTACCTTGGTTGCAGGCTCCTCCCCAGCTTGGGCCCTGGTCGGGGCTCATGCAGGAGGCAACCAATCAATGTATTTCTCTCACATCAATGTTTCTCTCTGTCTTTCCCTTTCTCTTCAACTCTCCCTAAAAATAAATGGAGGGATATCCTTGGGTGAAGATTTACAAACAAATAAACAAAAATAATAATAATAACAATAATCCACTGGGGGTTAAAGTATACACAAAAAAGATTGGCCATGAGTTGTTAATTATTGGACCTGAATTATGGTTATTGGTGAGTGCACCATACTATTCTATTTTTGATAAGCTTAAAATTTCAATAATAGCCCGGCTGGTGTGGCTCACTGGTTGAGCATCATCCTGTGCACCGAGGTCACCGGTTAGATTCCCAGTCAGGGCACATGCCCAGGCTCGATCCCCGGTGGAGGCCAATTGATGTTTCTATTTCTCTCTCCCTCTTCCTTCCTCTCTCTCTAAAAATCAATAAAAACATATTTTTTAATGTCAATAATAAACTTTAAAAATAAATGTCATTTAAAACTTCTGGTACTAATAATGATTATATCAACTTTGCAGGATACAAGGTTAAGATACAGAAGTCCATCACTGTAACAGCAATGATTAAGATACAGAAGTCCATTACTGTAACAGCAATGAATACATGGAATCCTATATAATAAAAGGGTAATATGCAAATTGACCAAATGGCAGAACTACCGGTTTGGGGGGGGGGGCAAACAGGCGGTACCAGGCCAGCCAAGGCGCGTGCCAGTGGTCAGAGGGGGGTGACAGCAATCGTGGGGCAGCAGCGACCAGTGGCAGAGGAGGGGTGATGGGCATGGGCAGGGCCCACTGCTCCCTGGCCCGGCCGTCCCCTGATAGGCCCGCCCTGATTGGCGGGAGCCCAATGGCGGCTGCAGTGACTTCGGGGCGATTTGGGGTGGGGCTGTTCAGCACCTTCCCCAAATCAGCTTGCTGGGTTCACCTCCTGCAGAGGGAGGCCACCGGTGGCGGCTGCAGCAGCAGGGGTAGGGGAGGTGGCTGCTCGCCAGCTGGCTCCGTCCCCTAATGAGCCTGCCAGGTCGCCTCCCCTCCAGGGAGCGGGCCTAAGCTGTCAGTCAGACATCCCCTGATGGCTCCCAGACTGCGAGAGGGCGCAGGCCGGGCGGAGGGGCACACCCGAGTGCTTGAATTTTCATGCACAGGGCCTCTAGTTTAAAATAAAAAACACAATACCATTTACTTTAACACCCCCAAAATACTTGGGTATAAATCTAAGAAAGTATGCATAAGACCTATACGAGGAAAACTACAAAACTCTAAAGAAAGAAAGAAAAGAACTAAATAAATAGAAAGACAGTCTATGTTTGTGGATAGGAAGACTCAATAATGTCAAGATGTCAGTTCTTGCCAACTAGGTATGTAGATTAAAAGCAATCCTAAACCCAGCTGGTGTGGTTCATGGTTGAGCATTGACCTATGAATTAGGAGCTCAATGTTTGATTCCTGGTCAGGGCAAATGCCCTGGTTGTGGGCTTGATCCCCAGTACGGGGCGTGCAGGAAACAGCCAATCAATGATTCTCCCTCATCATTGATGTTTCTTTCTTCCTTCCTCTCTGAAATTATACACACACACACACACACACACACACACACACACTCACAATCTATCTAAAATCCTAAGCGACCAACTGACCATTGGATCAGTAGCTATGATGCACAATGACCACCAGGGGGCTAATGGCTCAATGCATGAGCTGCTGCTGTGCGGTGACACACTTGTAGCCAGAGAAGAGGTAGCTTGATTCCAGGGAGCATCACTGGAAGAACCGCCCTCTAGTTTTCCTGGTCTTCTCTTTGTTATGTCGGATAGCCCGTTTTGGCCTCAATGATTCCCCGCAG